TTATAAATAGACAATGAAGTTGAATGTATCAGTCTACTATAGCGAGTTGGACGCTAGTCTAGGTAGCTGAGTAAGCGTGGAGTTGTAATGTTTGTCTACATTCATTTATTAATCTAAATTGTGATTCATTATGAATATTACCGCAGACTATAGGTACACCCAGTTCGCATTGTATAGGGAAAAATAGATATATTCGCGAATTTAAGCTAGGCGATAACAAGGTACCGATACGGCGTGCGGTTTGACACAGCATGGTTCAATAGGACCGCAAAATAGAGTATGAATGGGAAACGCGCATGAAAGCCGTCTGTATATTGAGAAGCAATGTGCAAGTGTAACGGTGACCATTTTATAAATGCGATCTTGCATAATTTAGACGATTTCTCTGTGCATTATTCCAGGTCTACTCGAAAAAATATTTTATAAAGCACTGTACCTGGCTATCTTTTGTAATTCATAGTTCCTCGTCCCTCTGCAAGGAGAGAATGCAACAGGGCGGTAACAACAAAGCATACAATCAGGGAAACATGTCAGGCTCATTTCGTAACCGTTCGAACCAAGGTAAGTAATCCGTCTCTGTCATTAGGCCAATTTTCTTTCTGTTTACTGTTTAGATCGTTTTAACAGTGTTATATACAAGTAGAGTTATTATTACAAACATATAGCTACCTCAATGGTCTCAAACAAGCCTTGGCCTATGTTATAGACATCCTAACGTGACTCTCCATCCTAGACACACACGCTGAAACTACCTCAGGATTCATTAGGTGTTTTGTTATTTACCATACTGCGTTTAAGTAGTTCGCCACACATGAGCAGACACCTCTAAAACAATGTTATGTAGTAGTTCACTCCGATAAACTGACAACCTGAAGAGGTTATTTCATGTACAAGATTTTTCTCTTGCCTCTCGCGGAACCCATCGGATATTTTGCGTCGTAGCTGAATATATATTCATTTTTAATTTTTTATGTACACGTCTGATTTAATATATATTATTGTTCGTGTAGGAAGATTTTGTAGTGGTAATGTTGATGTGATATTGGAAATTTATTGGTGCCCCTTAGATAGAAAGCGTAGTCTTGTTATCGTCTGATGCATGAAAATGTAAGCGAGCAAACTTCAACGGATGATACATTCACCAACTTTAAGGCTCAAATGGTAACGTGTCACATCACGGTGGCCACGGCGGAGGGAGAAGGAACGACCATCGACATTCGCCAGATAACAACAACACTAGCCACAACAACAACAACAACAACAACAATAACAAGTAGGCGACAAATTTAGTTCTACTTCCAACATTTTCAAGCTTTCGAATTTATAATCATATTTACCAAGAACGACAGAGGTTACTGTGCTTAGTCTGTTGCTAGTAGAATTATTTTTCGTTGTTGATTATTTATTTATTATGACATTTTAGTAGTAGTCGTTCCGTTAAAGAAAAGTAGGTCTGCTCGGTCGTAGCATTGTAATGCTTGCATGGGTGAATTTGGCAGAAATACCTTAAGTGTGTACCGAACGTTTCATGGTACCAGCATTCAGTTACGGGCTGTCGTTGTTACTGAGTTTAACACGGTTCCTTGTTGTTTGTTTGTTTGCTCGTTCGTTCGTTCGTTCGTTCGTTCGTTCGTTCGCAGTGGCGGCGGGCGAAGCGAGCGCTATACACACGGGGGTGGCGGGGGTGGAGGAGGCCGGGAGATGAACGGACGAAATTCGCACGGAGGCGGCCACGGTGGTCACGGCGGTGGCAATTATGGCGGTCGTGGAGCGGTGCTGTCACGAGAACAAACGCGACCTCCTCCAGTGCAATCTTCAACGCAGTTCGATTCTCGCAACCACAAAGAGATTGTTGACTTCTTCCAACACAATTTCGATATCATTAAAGATCAAACGCTAAGCGGCTCCGGACACAAATCTAATAGCACTCGAAAGGCGGTATACTATCAACCTCCGCAAGGAACGGCGCGTCCGCCAGCAGTCGCTAGCGAAGCCGGCTTATATTAGCGATCGTTCGACTTATGCACCAATTATCATCAAGTGACAAAGAATATGTACACAACATGAATCGGTCACTCTATACAGAGAGAGAATTGCGAAATACTGGCTATTTTACTTTACTCCTCCTGCTGTTAAAAGCCAATCAATGAAAAGCCCTTAACACTAATCGTCTACGTAGATAGGAAAAAGCAAGCGTCACTAGATAACCAGTGGTTCCATCTTAACCTATCGATCTACCAATGTAATGATGTACTCTGCGGTTTATGTTGTACTAATTTGGATTGCGGCTATTTTGAGCTGCCAGCTGAGCGAGCTCATCATAGTCAGTAATGGATGATGATAACGGTAGGTCTCGCTCCGTGAGGACCGTGTACAGTATTTATTACGACCTATACACGTTCATACTGCTATGAGACCTGGCATGCATGCGCACAGCAGCCACTCGTTGTCAGGCGCATCAATTGGTGATGCAGTAGCGGTATGTGACATCGATACAACCTAGGTAGAAGAATACGATGTGTGACTCTTATCAGTAAAACAGACCGATGTTTATAACCGAAGTCATCACATTACAGAACGAAGACAACCTGACGATAATCGGTTGTAATGAGTAATAAAATGGTGTGGAAAGTAATGGACGGGAATGAAGACGAACTTTTATACAGCTCATTGATGCACCACTATGGTAATGGCCTTTTACTGACGCATTTAAGTTTCTAGACACTCGAGACTCACTGCATACCGTTTGTTGACAGGTACCATTGAACACAAGGACAAGTAGTTAGAATATACGATATATGAGGACCCGAATGAAAAAAGGCATCGTTTCAACAACTAGGACCTCTTATTTTGCAAGTTTGCTGTTGACGATACTGCTACTGATGATGACGTTGTGCGATTTAATGCATATCGCGATTTGATAATTTGGTAGGAAGATCAATACTCTCCGGTGTGTTTTTGTTGATGTACTTGTTCATCCACATGATTTTCCTTTACCTTTTATTTTGCCTGATTTCGGCTAAGTGAATTCTCCTTGCTATAGGACATTTCTGAATATCCATCAGTAAGAAAGGTGGCAAGTACTCGTCTATGGTGAGCCTACAATTCGCTGTTACCCATCCTTTCGCTCGTGAATCTCACAATAGTATTAGATCCCGATGCGCGACTAGGTATTTCTGCTTCTGATTGCGTAACAACGAAGAAAAAAAGTCACGGCATTCTGTCATACTGTCACTGCTATAATTAAATGAATTCGCCCAGTTGATGATATTCATACGGTCGTCAGGAGCGCAGTGCTCGAGCAATAAAAAGGCTATTGAAACAAATTCGAATGCACAATATAACAACGGTACCTATGAGTGTATGATTCATAACTGATCATTGTAGTATTCAGGCATATCGTTATGCTTATGACCTACATCGACCCTTCTGGAAAGATTTAGCGAGTCTGACAAAAACTGCCAAAGAAAAATACCGAAAACAGTTTACGAACATTCGAGGAAGATCAAACGGTTCTGCATTTCTGGTCTAAGTAGATCCCGTGATGATTTGCTGCCTCGAGAATAGGATACGGATGATGAAGGACAGCGCGCAGTTGTGGATTGAGTGTTAACACATTTATCACTTCGTTCAAGTTCATGCATTACCCGATCGCTGCCAAATCAGCGGATAATCGCTGCCAACGAAAAAAAGCCTGATTGGCGTTATGGATTTCCCTAATACTGTGATCATCATCGCTTTCCGATGCATAATTCCGAAAAGGTCACAGCTTAGGGTTCTCGCTGTGAAGATAATTTTTCGAAAAAAATTCTATTCAAACATTTCTGCTCGTTTTTATCCTTTCTGCGTTGTCGTACAATTTGAACATTACGCGTCATGTTAGTATTGCTGACGCCTCATCAATGAATACCGACTGCGGTTGAACGAATGGTGTGTCCTGTGACTGCTAAGGAAAACAGAATGCAAAAAATCATTCGAGTTTCACTTATTGTTTATCATTATTATAGTTAATTAAAGCTATTATATGAGTGATGATATGATTTATCCATTTCTCAAAACGGACTACGATGGTGACACAAATGTCGAAAGTGATACCACGCCTACGCATCTAACATCTACGGTCTATTATTTTGTGTAACTAATATTACTACGAGGTACTGACGACAAGAGTGAAGATCCCAGTGTCGTTTTTACAATGTGCGCCTAAATGCGCGGTGTGTATAATAGCCTATGTCAAGAGACAGACGAAAGATTAGAAACTTCGAATGGAACATACAAAACATTTATAAGTTAACTTTATCATACTACTGCTACTGCTGATACTTATGTGCTGCACGAAAATATACCGAACATGTATGAAGGGTTCTACCTATTCAAGAAAGTGTATGTAAGTTGGAGTACATTGGACATAACCGATACCTAGAAATCTACCCAAGCCAGCAAATTAATGTGTGATTAGCTAAAGATGTCTCCATACCAATTACTAGCGATTTACTTATCTTGAAATATATGAATGTATGTATATGCAAGCCGTTGTGTGTAAAACTATGTAAAATGATATATATTTTCATAGTATTTGATCTAAGTGCTTACACTTGTTCAAAAGAAGACCTTCCGGTGTTGTAACTATACTGTATAGGTGATATAAATTGATGCTAAGTTTAGATTATTGAATATGCGGATCATATCATGATTACAATGATTATATTTACTAGATAGTTGTTTTAAAAAAGCTTTGTTTCTTCGAACCTTCGGTAGAGTGAAAATCAATAACCAACTGTACTCACGCCCCGACAAGCCCGTGTATACATGCGTCGGGATGTCCTTAGTTGTTATTACAACTCCAAACCTTAAAATGATGATAATGGTCTGGAGTGAACGTGCAAAAAGGCATCACGAAATTCAATGAATGTTACATAACTTACATGAATTTTTCGATTGGACAGTGCATCTGCTAGATTTTATCTTGTACTATAGAGATGTTTTCTGTTGAATGTTATATTGATATATTTGATTTGACGTTGTCTTTTTTTGTTCAGTAGTATTTTTGATCTCGTTTTTATTACTTCGTCTTCGAGTAAAACTATGCAGAATAGGGTTTAATTTTTAAAGCATACTGCGGAAATTTCGTAAGCGAAAAGTCGGCATAACGACAAATTATACTGCCGAAAATTTCGAATGTTTTTGACACACATGGATGCGATATTGCGATTTACCATCTTTGTTCTTCAATTCCGATTCAGCCGCTTTTAAAAGGTCTTGTTAGTTACCAGTTTAAGCGAAAAACTAATTTTGCCTGAACTAATATATTTCCCACAGCCTTCGGAATCAAGGGTGTTGAGAGGGCCTCGGCTTGATTAAACCTGACCCGTGTATTCTACCTTAAATTTACTAACTTCCAACTTTCGGATTTTTTTTGCAACGAACGTTTTAGGTACAGAATGTAAAATAGTTTTAGTGATTCATTCCAAAAACATTTTGCATCTCTAAATGCTGCTGCTGCTGCTGCTGCTGCTACTACTACGAGATAATGGGGCTTTTGTAGATCAAAATGAATCAGTAGTCATTATGATTATTAGTAGGTCAGTTGTGCCGTCTATAGTATTTACAATGTAGCAAATACTAGACAACTGTATCTACCATATATGACCTACTTCAACAAAGCAACAAGGAAACAAAGATTGGTGACCTGCTTTGATATATTCACGCCACGGTCATGTACACGTCTGCGAGTGAGTGACTGACTGACTGACTGACTGACTGACTGACTAATTACTATACTAGATAAATGAATGGATAATAGAAATCAAATAGTCATGCATGTTCTTACTTTTCTAGTCTCCATTCAATATTGAACTTGATTTATGTGGGCCTTTTTGGAGCGGCCCTTCTGTAACGCTGTGTAAATAAATATACGATTAATAAACACACACACACACACACACACACACACAAACATATATATATATATATATATATATATATATATATACGAAACAATGGACACAAACAGCATACTCCTTGCAGATTGCTCCTGCAGTAGCGGTTTATACGTCAACATCATAACGTACTAAACTATATCGTCGAGAGTATAATTATTACAAACGTGCTCGGCGATGTTATTGTCAGTGGGCCTGAAATGCATTTGATCGCTGCACCCTTTCACTCTCGTCTCGTTTAGTACATGATAAAAAATAATCTCATTCATGTTTATCTTTTACTACGATCATGAAATATACCATTATAACTCGATAGTAGTATTTGATGTAACCAGCTGCGCACCCGTTATCAGTGGCGCTCCTCAAAGTTCGTCTTTTCCTTAGCATTTTCGTACAGCCTGTGGAAGGCTCACGTAGAATCCCCTATTCCACTTTAGATTTTCATTCATTCGCCTTAACAAACAACAAAAAAGTACGACCATCACCACTACTGCTATTGAATATGAAGGACCTTTAACAAGTGAAGTGCTAACAGTATACAAAAGTGCAATGTGTTTACGTGTTACTATTACATACATATCCCGTTGCCATATTTTATTAGCTGTGTGGGTGTGTACGTACCGTGCCGTTTCGCTCTCTGGTTAAAGAAAAGCTATAAACAATGAGGGTACGAACCGATAATGAGCGGCCTGTGTGCGGAGCAATCTTGTGTGCGTGCGGCTGTTTGTATATCTGTCTGCCTGTGTGTCTTCTCTTTTTTTTTTTTCTTTGTAAATTCTGCTGTGTGCTTGTGTGGCACGTTCGTGCGGTAGATTCTGTGAGTTCTGCCGTGGGCAGTGTGCACGAGTCGCCATCACCATCCACCTAGGTGCGTAACCGACGCCTAGTTGAATTCTCTCATCCATCCGTAGTAGCATACTTCATCACAAACGGTGTACTCTTAGAGACTGATGGAGCGGAAGTTAGCACCACTCCATAATTTACTATTCGTACTTGTAGCTCGTGATCTAAACTGGACAATACATCTACGACGCGTTCAATACAAATGCGTCATGCGCGTACCTTTTTGAAAACACTACGTAATAATAAAGGAAAGAAACAAATTTAGTTATAATACCACGCAAAACAGCTAATTTTTTGTCACATCTCTGTCTAGTTAGTAAAACGGCAGTAAATAGAGAAATGGCAATGAGCGGCTATACCGTGGGGCACGTGTGTACCTGCCCTTTAACATGCAGAAACAACTCTTTCATCAATCAATCAATCAATGGGATCAACTTAGGCCATATTAAATCTGTTTGTTTCTGAAGTCATTTGGCAAAAATGCTATTTCTCCTTGATATATGACCTACGAAATTGCATTGTTTTTTTTTGAGTATTTGGATGTCTTTCACTAAATGAGGACATCACATTTCACAACAACATAATCAGGCTCAGTATAAATTCGCTTTTCGGAGCAATACTGTTTTTTAATTTAAACGAAGTAAATTGCCTATGACGTTTTGCCCTTTGAATGATAACACATTTTTCCGCTGTCGCGAAGTCTAGGTCTATGAAGTCTCGAAAGAGAGTTTCTGTATAGTGAAACGCGAACATTGTTTGAGAAGAAAGCGTCGAGATTTTGAGAACAAATAATAATCGATAAGAAAAATGTCTGACGAGCACGATAGATGACAGAAGGCTTCTAGCTAGTAACTATTGTCATTGTGTTTAGTGCAACTTAAGCGCCAGTGTGAAAAAAGAATTGTTTGCTTTTATTTACTAGTCTTGTTTGCTTAATGCGCACTTTCCATCGTCGCATTTAATGGCTAACAGAACTTGTGTACCTCAAACGTAAGGGATCAACCTGGACTACCTGGGATCTACCTGGAAGACGGATGACGTGTGCGCTAGACCATTGAACAGGCATTTGAAAGCAACGCAACCGTGCGTTTCCGTCGAGTTCAATTGGATTAACTCATTGTTATAAAATCAGTTTTTCATAAGGAGGGTAACTAAGGTGTTTTTTGTATACACTAAACTTCGAAGTTAACAACATTTCACACGACGTAATATTTTTTCCCAAACGGTTTCTATTAAATAGGTCTTTGGAAAAAGTCTATAGTTAGACATACGTCATGTCTCAAACATGTGAACATCTACACTTTGACCTTCTATTTAAGAATTGTGGCAGCTATTATTATTAAGATAGTGTGAGCTAGTCGGGTAAAGGTTGTGTTCATTCTGGATAAGAATGCCGGCTGCGGTTTATTGATTAGGTCATATGATTTTTATGGGCATTATGTATCGAAAGCATTACTTGAGGAGTTTTGGCCGTCACCCGTTCTTATTTTAAACCACTGGCCGGGTCTGGCATTGCTCATCGATGCGCAATTTGCATAGATAGCTTTTTAAAGATCAACACCTTGCTTAGCTTTAACGGTAAGTCGTGATCAACGGATACGACACAACACCTATATTCATCTCCAGTTTCCGTAAAACAAACACCTTACAACGCGTCTCGATTGAGCCAGGTTTTTTAACCCAAGGCTTCCTAGGCTCTTTTCTAAAGAAGTGTTTCTAGCCGAACACTATTATGGCTTCCAGCGTCTATGCAGCCGCACTTCGACGATTTTTGTTTTCATGATAAGAATCGTGCTGCTACTAGTCGATACTTCATTCGGGATAGAAGTTTGACCATTCTAACAGAATGGTCAGTACCCACTTTAGCAAAGTGGGTACTTCAATATACGTTCCCTAAAACCACCTTTGAGTTCGTTTCGCCCGATTTCGAGGCTACTGTTGTGTAAAGAAACATGATCTTTGTGAACCATTTTTGTCCTCTTCTAAGGAGAAAAAAGAAATCAGAAAATTGTAAACGTACAATTATCGATCCTACGCTCAAACTCCAGCTTTGATGGGCTAATCTACATAGATTAGAGTTTAACCGACACCGCACCTTATCACTGGCCTAATCGGCCACAAACCAGTACGTTTGATAGGGCGTCCGGTACCTATAATCTTATATATCATCTTTTTTTTTGCAGGTCAGTGATCCTTTAATACCGAGAAACAGCTCCAAGGTACGAGTACCGTAGTCATTAACTGAGGTGTTCATCTTAACCAGTCAAACTCCGCATAAATAGCAATTATTAAGTTATTTACCAGTTGTATACGTTGAGCGGTATGAAAAATGGTGTACACATTTACAACAGTGTATCATGCTTTACATCTACAGCATGCACAAGAGCTTTCCTCTAGTATCAATAATCACAGGTTGATCCACTGGTTGGTATGGCAAATGCGATGACTTAAAGAGGTATATAGTTTTTACTGTTCACTAATGATGGCTATAGTTCAACTGATTCCCTTTTATTGCACGGGAAAAAGCCTAATTATAACAGAGCACATGTGTTATAATAATTACCGTCGCATAGTTACCATATAACGTTAAAGGTCATACGTAATAAAAGTGACACATCGATCGCTATTGATTTCAAAGAACAGTTTGCCGTAAGCAAACGGAACAACTAAGTAATATTTTTGTCTTTTTGGCTGTGTTTGAAAGCTCGAGACATCCGGTATCCGCTCTCCGTTTCCCTCATAGGCCGTTCTTGCGGATTCTCCGCTGGCAACGCCTACTTTTGCTCACTATTCGGCTGGTGGAGGGCCTGTAAACTCTCTCCTGATAGGGCCGTTTCTAGTAAATCCGTAACTGCCAAAACATCTGAATTTTCTTTTAAAACAGTGCTTCTTTTTTGAATTTTATTAGATTTTTGGGTTCGAATCGTAGATAGAGCCCGCATCGGAGCTTTCGATGGGTGTTCGTCAATGTTTGAATGGTGCCCATGCCCAGACAATCTGAGTCTCCATGTGAGTGTGTGTGTGTGGGTGTGTGTGTCTATGTATGTGTGAGTGACCTTCATCGCACATTTCCATAAGCTCTTGTTTTCCTAGTGATCACTGATATTTTAGTTTGCAATTTATTGATGTCTAAGCTGATTCAAAGCTAATCATGCCAATGCCTCAGGCTTTTTTTTATTATTAATAGATGAGCAGAAAAAGATTGTCAACAACACGGTCAAGGGCAAAAGTCGAACTACATGGGGCCATATATTTAAAAGATACTTACTCTTTACGTAAACGTATCCACTCAAGCAAGCAGATAAATGATAGAAACACTTTCGGCTCGATCAGTAGCTTCGTTCTGTGACGATTTGACATAGCGGGAATGTAATCTTCCCTCCGATCGATGCAAAAAAACAAACGGCAATATTAATCAACCCTGGTCCTCAATGATAGCTATAAACTCTCAGTTCGCACAAAATAATTGTAAAGATTCGAGTAACAGTCATTAAAAATTGTAACGTAATTTTAGGCGTGATTAAAACATAATTATTCAAGGGAACTAAAAACGAGCAAATAGGGTGGCTGGTTCTTTATTTGTTAATATTTTGCAATGACTCGCAAATACGAAGGTAAATGTTTAGTTAAAAAAATCCGTTTTTTTTTCCATAGCTGACTCGTAGCTGTCCCTTCAACGAACAACCTTGGCACTACACTGAACACCGTTAAAAATCTAAAGGAAGAGGTTTGTTAGAATCTGATTGTTTGCGGACTACATTGAAATTCTTAAGCGATCATTATAAAAAAAACCAATGATTAATACTATAAATTTTTTAGAAAACATAATAAGGAATTTTCACTCTTATCCTTAATGAGGTAGCTACTGGCCAAAATGGACGATCTGTCACCGAATAGTCATTGTATACTCAGTCTGAATAACTGTCAAGGTCAGAAAAATTGGCCCGTCAGCGATTTGACCTATCATTTCCTTTCGGAGATCCTTTTCGAGAAACGAAGGTTGTTTTTCATTTCTAACCTAAAATCGGTCTTCATGCCTTACACCACATGAAAAGTAAGAAGGCAAGACGCAGCATAATAAATAAAGAAACGCTCCGGAGAAAGATAACGTTGTCGAGTATAAGTAACTTGTCGTTTTCTCTATTCGAATCGGTTAAAATCTGCTTAATTAACATAATTTCATACACAATGTATAGTAGTAAGGAAGACGTTATGCTGTAGTGCCCGCACCAGTTAATGAATACTCGTATACTAACAATGAAATATTAATACCTTCTAGAATGGCGTCAAAAAAATCCATATGAGAAACATTTAAGCAGGTGTGAGTGTACAGGTAGCATGTAAAAAATCATTTTTGTTATGGTTATAGGAAACTACGAGCAAGTCACACTAATAAAAACAATTAAATAATATGGACCTCGTATTTTAAAAATGCCCGTGTAGTTTAGCTAAGAATAAACAAGGTCCTAGCTAGCGCATGGGATTCTAACTGTATGAAAAGAAATCGTTTGGGGGCTTTTTTGTGGAATATTGCATACCTGTGTATTGCATAGCTTCGCCTCTCGTACATTCGACCGATGACTAACATCATTGTTTACTATAAACGAAAGACTATTATTGTATTAGAAATAAATAAACATATATGCAACTTTTCGGCTGATGGTTCAGTTCATATAGATAAAGAAGGCTGTCTGATAGCGCAGTGGGTGACGTGCTTGCCTCCTAACGGTTGGTACATGCAGTGGTCTAGAACATACTTCCTTTTGTGTTTGAAGCCATTTTTCTAAAGTTATGTCTAATGGCTTAAGTGCCAGACATATAACAGGAAAACATAGATAGAGACCGTGTAGTTGTGGACACATGCTTAATTGGTACTTGAGGTTGTAGGCAATGAACCGGCAGGCATCGATTTGTCTCACCTAGACTCGTTGCACTCTTGACTTACATCTACTTGTAAGGACTAATCTGTACTAGTTTCGAAATATGCAAATCTGAGACAGATTGAAGTCTAAAACCATTTCATAATTTATGTTATAGTACGACCTAACGATGCTCTTTCTTCTATCGTTCCGTTGATCTAAAGGCATACCACAGATTTTATCCGCAAAGAAAATGGACATTTTGCTTTCATTTTTGTTTTCAAGTCCTTGAATTGGCCAGCTTCTTCAGGCTGATGTCCAAATCGATATAATGTTGATAGAGCTGTTAAATACCCATAATAGTTAAACAACAGGTTTATCCTGGATATTTTCAATTATCAGATACTTTGTATTGTTATTGTTTGAAACTCTTTTCCTATAAATAACATTTTCCTATAAATAACATATTTATCGTAAAGCATTTTAAAATAATCACACTAAAAACTTGAGAACGAGACAGAATGGCACCGTATTTCTAAAGTTGTCACTGATTTATCTATTATATGATTATGCCGTGTAAATAGTTTCTCTCTGGTTGAATTATGATAAGTAATTTGTTACTTATAGTTCAACGAAAGAGTACCGCTCTGAGAAGTGCCAGTACTGCGTTTTTTTACAATGGTGAACTTTATAGAATTAATGCAGATCAGTAATTTCAGAGAAGTTTGCTCTTCGATAACTATATAATATGCAGCGACTTTTTGCATATGTAGAAAGAGCGTAAGGTTTGACTCAAAATGCAACATAAGTCATGCTTGTAGTATTCATAAGCTGTTTGCCGAACGCAAACGCCTTTTGTGCTTACCGCATCGATAGTTTTGTCTTGCTTGACCGCGTGGATTTGGCAATCCACCAACAATTTATGAAGAGAAAACAAAGTCAACAAAATTATGTATGACGAGAATCGAAAAACCCCTCGAAAATTAAACTCATCAAAGACAAGAGACGACTTGGTTCAACTAAAAACAAGTACACGTGCAAATCAGGACCAATCACCACAGAATTCTAATCCTATCGAGGATGCTTGGTCGGAAGGTCCCGCGAACCGTCTTCATGGAGGCAAAGGTAAGTCAGAACTAAAACAACTCAACAGATAAAAATACTTTGAACCGGTGATATTAGGTCACCTAACTGTTCAGCGACGACTGAAAGTCTGGTTTCAGGTGTCGTGTCCTGGTGGGCCCGCACCTTTCTTTTCCTATTCGCCAGTGTCTTTAATTTCACATGAAATAATTATATATTGCGTCTTTAATACCACGGCGGTATTTCAGCAGGTGAACAGGTCGATGAACTTCATGATGATTGCCGTACACAAGAGCATGTAAATTCCCTGCATTATAACTACCTTGTTGCGCTTATCGCGTTGCCCTGTTGCGTCAGTCCCGTTATCCTTGTGTTGAAATACTGAAGTAACATGGCTGCTTGCTGGTACGATTGACGAATTACTCACTGCCGGTTGTCGAGTATCCTATCGCAGATAACACATTGCCCTACAGTACATATATTGCGCTTTTTTTTTAAATAATAACGATGTTAAATGATTATCATATAAGAAGAGAAAACCTTTTTTTATTATTATTATTATTATGCTTTTTTTTATTATCCTGTTTTCTAGGGCCTGACTTCAACATTTCGTTGCAATTGTCCAGTCAAAACGCGTTCCTTTTTCCAACTTAAAACCTACTATTAATCTAACCGTTATTAGGTCGACGCTGTTATTCAATGGTTGGGTACAGTCAGCCTAACTTATATCAGTTAAGATTAATAAATACGCCTGTATTGAGTAAAGGGGGCATTCCGTAATCACTATTACATTAGTTTGATACATCAAATGTATTATTCGTACTGATAATTTTTTTATGGATATATTCCCATTAGACTAAT